AAATGTTTAACGGGTATAATGTAAGCGTATAGTATACATATATCTAATCCTTCTATTTTATAAAGCGCTAACTTTGTGTGTCGGTTTGTATGTCTGTATGTGTGTGTATGTATGTATGTATGTGTGTCCGTCCGCAAAATGAAGTGAGTGAGAAGGAAGCTCATGGGATAAACAAACCGCTAACAGAATCATGTAGCTCACAGGACTTTAGCTATTAGTGTTTTGCAATGGCATGATTGTGATAACACCCCAACGGCTACATAAACACCTACTGAGGTCACTTCCAGTTATTTCACATGGTGCTGCGGTGGCAGCTGAAGGTGAGTGGAAGGAGAGGAGAGGGGGTGAAGTGTTCGAGGAGGGTAGGCGGGAAACCACCCCCAACAGGCCTAGGATGCAATTAGCTTTCGTAAGGTGATTTTAGGCCGTAAAGCGTACGCTGTGAAAGAAGGTCCCGGCGGTTGGGCGGGGACCAACCTGGTAGATTTCTATAGGGGAAGACGGCAAATACAGCGTAAATGTGACTTCAAGGATATTTTGCCGTTTTGTGTTCATTTTTTTCGATCACTGGCGGAGTAATTATTGAAGCTCTACTATTTTCTTCAATATTCAATGTTCAGTCGTGGAATGCATCTTCAGTTAAGTTGTTCCAATGTGAGCTCCAGAATTTACAGCTGCTAGCGAATCTTCCCTTCCGTCGAGCAACCCTCGAGGCATTATTTCACTACAGTGACACTGACAACACTTTTCAATCAAAGTTCAAGGTGCCGGATTTTGAAGCGGTGAGTTTAAAAGGATCCGATATTCTTATTTGCACACGAAAGCGGTACCCTCCCTTTCAAAAAGCGAGAAGAGCGTCGGGTGCAGACCATACACCACAAGTGACGACGGCCTCCACAAAATGTAAATGTTTTCTGCCAATGAAATGATTAGCCTGTTGCAGTTGTATTCTATCAGTTGTCACTAATTACAACTATCATTTACCAAAAATCAGCTATCACTATGAACCACTACTAACCAGATTTACTTGGAGGCCGTCGTCACTTGTGGTGTATGGTCTGCACCCGACGCTCTTCTCGTTTTTTGAAAGGGAGGGTAGTTTGCTTCCATACTTACGTATGAAATTCTTACAGCTAGATCCCATGCAAATGGCAAGTGAGTTAATGAGCGCAGCAGCCAAAGCCGAGAATCGGCGGAAAACTATTTCCGGAATCAATCTGCCCTTACCATTCGCAGGAAAACCGCTTAATTTTCAGGTAGATTTTTTTATTTACTAGTTATTTATTTATTAGTAGTGCGCTCAGAGGTGCGCTATAGTAAATCGTCAGAAACTAGAGCAGTTATTGTCAGAAACATTCTATTGAAACAAAACCCAAATTGAGCAAAATCTTGCACACAAGTGGGAAGTTTTCAGACATTACCTTCAGATATCGTTAATGCCCAATAAGGCAAGTAGTCAACGCTTTCCTTTTTTCCGAAGATATAGGTGCTTTGAGCCATTTGCAAGTCTGCCGGTAATAAGTGAAGCCACCTCGCTCCACGAAAAAATAGCGAATTAAAATCTGGACGGTTTTTGGATGATTTTGTCCATTGTAGAAGTTGTGCAAACTGATTGTTATCTCGTAAAAATATGCCGCTTTACTTTCTTATCCCTTAAAATTAAGTTCCAGATGACTGGAGAGTCCCGAAACGGTCTGTCCTTCACCGAGAGCGATGTTAAACCTGATGAGCGCCAAAGCGATCTGAGTCTCGCGAGGCTAGAGAGGCTATTCATTACTGCGAAACGGATTTCGCCTGGGATCTGTCCTCGCGTCCTGTGATGGTCTGTTGCTGGTTCGCGAGTTAGGCTATTCTGAAAATGCAGGTGTGGCACCGCCGAAGTGGTATTTCAGGCCCTGGACACTTTTCACAGGCTCAAATTCGGCGAATCGCTAGTCAATGTCGATCCTGTACGAGGTGCTCTTGATGACGATCCCACGACATCGTTCGCAAAAATGCTTGTCCCAGCGCTTGAAGAGAAATTAGAAGCTCCAGAAAAAGTACGTTCCGGTATTTCCATTCTAATTGTAGAGACTTATTTTGTTTCTTTTTGTTTGTTTGGGACGTTTTTCATTTTCTTTTTTTTCACTAATATTTTTTTACATGGCTCTTTTCCTTCCCCATTTTTCCATAAACTTCCTCATGTGCTGTTTAGGATCCCCATGCGGGTTCTTCCGTGAGGAAGATTCAGCCGATGCCGATCACGAAGAAAAACAGATGATGGAGGATTTCGTGGTCTCCCAGCCATGCCGAACCTATTCCAGTTCAACAACGCCATCCTTTCTCGAATATACGGTTTCGATCGAATCACGTCAGATCCCGAATGGGAAAAATTCAGGAATTTCTCAGGAGGATCTCTTAGTGATGTGTCAAACTGTAGATTGTCTTAGGTAGCAGGATAAAGCGCTAGTATGAATTTTTAGCTGAGAAAATGGTTTCTTTTCTGTTACTTATTTGTCTGGTCATGTCTCAGATCTCGGGTAGCACTCTCACAACTGTGACCAGAACAGTGGCGTTTCGTAGATTGTTAAGGCTTACAAGAAAAGTTCCTAGGTCGCCATAGCCATTTGAGAGGAGATGTGCAGCCCTATATGTGTCTTACAACGTTGATTTCGATTTAACCCTCCAAAGCTGCCAAACGATCTTCCGAAAATGTTTGCGAAACCGACTTCTCCACGGTGGTGGTGCGGCCTGAAGGTGGGCGCAGGGGGTTTTGTTTCTCTACTTTGCTGCAAGCATTTCCTGAAGCGGCTATTGCATCCTGCTCTTTAATCAAACTTTTTCTAAGGTTGCCCCCGCCCCCCCCGTGCACGAGCAGTCGCTCACTTTTGAACCGCTGGCCGCATACCAGGTCAACTCTTTCGAACTATTTCAAAAACAAATTTTAACCGGGTCCAACTTCCGATTTTGCTTTTAAAAATTCGCCTCATGTGCATGACAGCCTGATTACGAACATCACGTTCGCTTTGTTTAAAAACGTGTGGCGCACACCCTACCAGCTGACCATACAATACAGTAACGCGATACAAGGCTACCTGACTTCTACTTTTATAGCCTAGTTATGTTAACGGAGGTGTCCCACCTTTCCTCCTCTCCCCTCCTTTAAGCGCTCTTGTCCTCAAAATTTACTAATTCATGAACACCTTACAACCCTTCAAAGCAGTTGTATCAACTTTCGCTAAGTCTTTCTTTGTAAGCGCTCTCGACTGGCCTCAGAGATAGTGACAAGTGCTCACCAACAATCGCACAGACATTTGGTAAAAGAACATCACAGGCATGGCTGACGTGACCCTGGACAACCGCTGCTCTCGCGCTCCGTATTTTCCGCTGGCTGAGAGTCTCGTATAACACGTGTGTAATGGAAACCCTGTCTGTAGTCGAAAAGCATTGTTCTTCAAATAGATTCACATTTATCCTTGTCGGAGTTGCAGTGTTGAAGGAATTCTCAGCGCTATTTCATGAAACGCTCTCGAAAATGGCTGGTTTCACTGATTAATTCTGAACGTTAACTGCTCGACTAAGCGTTCTTCTATGCGCTTTTCTGCAAAACTGACCAAACTAGGGTCTCAATTTTGAAGATTAATTTTCCACATCACAAAATTGTAGTCGTAGTAGTCGAAATCGGTTGTACAACTGTGAAATGGAAAACTAGCCTGAAAATTTTCACCAGATTAAACGAAAGCGTTGTCGGTTATCCGCATACGAGATAACGAAGGAGAGAATTTGGTGAAGGCGGAAATCGCTCATCCGTTTGGAATAAATTGTTTTTCCTTCCTAGAAGTTTATCTCCATTCACAATCGGGAGGCATTTTAACCTGTATCTGATAAAACAGGGCGGAAGTGGTGTAGTGGCAAGTGGCACGCTTACCACGCGAGCGGTCCGGGGATCAAATCCTGGGTCGTGAGTCGCCCGGGCCAACCAAGCCTTCCATCCCTCCGGGGTCGGTTAATTGGTACCAGACTTGTCTGGGAGGATAAAAACACTGACTTGTACATCGGCTGGCCCCCGCAAGTCATTGTATAGGCCACATCGCATTCAAACGCCACTACGAATGTACAAATGGAAGTAGAATGCGTGCCGCATCCCAAAAGGGATTGATCAACGGCAAATGCTTTATCCTTTTTATCTGATCAAGCTTGTTTCACCCTTTGTGGCCAGTGGTTCCCGAATTATTGGTAGCAAACATTCGGTCATATAAGGATAAAGGATTTTCTTGGCGTCCACTAACCGAACAGTATAGCAGGCTAATCAGTTCAATGTGCTGTTCTCAACTGTCGTACTCTATTTTCGGTTCCTTAGGTTAAAACGGATACGATAAGGATAATAAAGGATAAAGCATTTGCCGTTGATCAATCCCTTTTTGGGATGCGGCACGCATTCTACTTCCATTTGTACATTCGTAGTGGCGTTTGAATGCGATGTGGCCTATACAATGACTTGCGGGGCCAGCCGATGTACAAGTCAGTGTTTTTATCCTCCCAGACAAGTCTGGTACCAATTAACCGACCCCGGAGGGATGGAAGGCTTGGTTGGCCCGGGCGACTCACGACCCAGGATTCGATCCCTGGACCGCGCGCGTGGTGCTACTTCACTACACCACTGTCGTCAGGATAATGGATAAACCCCGAATGTGGTGTGGTGGTCAATGGCGCTGCCCTCTATACGCGTTTAGGCTTCGAGTCCAGGGTCGAACCTCCTCCCTCACATGTCAAATAGATTTTCAATCGATCCGTGTCCGTTAGGCGGTATCAAAGTTGTAATGGCAAAGTGGAAATCCAAAATTTTACATAGGCTGGCCCACATGGGTCTTTGTATAGGCAAGTGCCGCTACGCTTCCGACAAAGAAGCTGGAAATAGTGATCAACCCTCATACCTATTCTTTTAATGTATTGCTTTAAGTTCTCGGTACATATGAATTTCAGCTCAAACAGCATAACCATGAGCGATTTTTCACTTCAATTTTTTCATTTGCTCGCACTGGTCAATGACATAAGGATGTGTGTGCATCTCTTCACACGTCTTACATTCCTTTCACCATACCGGCATTTAAGCCCTGGACGTGGGCAGTCCAAAACGCCGATTTCGGCCACTAGCCCCAGGTCCTCCATGGCCAGGATGACTGAGCGATATTGCAGGAATTCCTTCTGTTGCCACGATTAGTCATAAAACTTCCCAGCCGGCGCACCCCAACCAGGGTGTCTACCGTGGGCGTGTCAGATTTTCAGTAACTTTTACGACGCTTATTTTATCAGCCCTCTACTTCAATGGTTCTCGGTACGACCCCATCATCACCGTCAGCCTTAGAAGGTTCTCTCATACAACCCTTCCTCCCTACTGCCACCATGCAGCTGATTCAATAGGTTTCATTCTGAACACTTGGAGACGTAAACAGTCTGAAGAAACGGAAAACACCTCAATTTTTTTCTAGTTTTTGCTTCATTAGTGGAGGTTCCCCTGAATTCTCGCCAAAATCGTTGCAAACCCTTCGAAAAACGGCCCCTCTGCTACCGCTCCAAAATACACCCCCTCCCCAAAAATCTCATACACGACCTCCTCGTTGAGAACTGTGCAACACATGGTCACCCATGCACCCAACGATGGGCTTAAGTTGAGGCCGAAGGTGGGTGAGTCTTTGGAAGTGTGTAGGATAGGATGTTCAAAAAGTAACAGATGTCCCATTCTCATAGCTTGGAAACTCTGACAAGAGCCTATTGGCTTACCAAGACAGCTTCCACTGCTTCCAGTTTTCCTAAGCAACTGGCAGTGTCTGAACCCTCTTATTCGTGGTGCTGCCTCGCCAAGTGCCTCTTTTCCGCGCTGAATGACTGGCTAGCACAGGCAAATCCACAAAAATAATGGGTAAGGCCAGTTGTTATTAAGCATTCGGTATCTCGTCGGTAGACTCATTTGAGACGTTATATAAAACGCCTAGTTGTCCCCATCATAATCGCTCTTTCCCCCCCCACCCCCCCCGTCCCCCTAATCCCCATTCACCATTGGATTTGAATTCGCAAATCCCTAGCGTTCTCAGGCTGTTTATATGAATGTGACAGCAGTTTATTTTACAGCTGTGCGATAAATTTTCCCTACACGTTTACATATAATGGATTGCCTGTTCCGCGATTCACGCACTTAATCGAGTTTTCCAGGAAAAACGGATCACCCATCTGGTGCTACTTTCAACATTCCCTAAATGATCATATGTCACGCATGGGCGTCGTTGTTAATCCATCATGAGAAAAACGGGCTGATGCTCCATGGACGGAACGTTCTTTGGCTTCAAATCCTTTTTGACTCAGGAGATAAATTAGGTTTCGATGCTCGTGATGGCTCCAAGGAATCAATAGAGGACGGATTATTGAAATAAGCACGTATATTCTACATAATCACAGCCACATGTAGTGTTAGCCGATGAGGTCAAAAAGCCCCTTGTTCTCGGATATTCGGAAACGCTCATTACTGAAAATAGCGCCGGATCGGCCTATGAGTCAAGGCGCGGTTTTAAATTCGCGCCATGTATGTGACTGACCCCAATCTACTAACTGAAGTCCTGAGGCTTGGAAAATGGCTGTTCAAAAGGCGCAATTCGAAAAATAGGTGCAGCATGTGGTCCCAAGTCTTACCCATGATCTGGAATGCAAAATGATCTGGCTGAGCTATTACTCTTAATGAAAGTCACACTTTTCGGTCTTTATGACTACCCCTTTAGGAATACGCCACGCGTTCTACTTACCAGGAAATGCTTCCAATTTTCCTATAGACAAACTATGGAGAACTGGGACAAAGTCAATGATTAATGAATTCCAATTACAAAAACTGAGACCAAGTTTGCTACGTGAACATTCCAAGCAAATCGTGGGTGGTCAAAGTTGGCAGGAAGTGTAACGTCAGCACAGAAGGCGAGCTAATGTGACCGCATCGGATCTTTCTAGTTTTTCCTTAAAACAGTACCTGAATGCGTTAAACCGGGTGGTCCGATCACGAATATGACATTCGTTAGAAACAGAGGTGCCTCTGGCGCCAGTCCGGAGTACCGCAACTCACTTTTTCATGCATTTTTTGCCAAACTTGACCGCGTCCACGACTTACCCGGCAAAGGTCGTCTAGCAGTTAAACAGCTTAATAGGTACATTTCACAATTTGAATGGGACGTAGTCTAGCAGGCACGTAGTCGTGAAAGTGTAACATAACAGTCTACAATTGCAGGGGCTCTGAACTTA